AACAGCCACCCTTTCCACCTTGCCAGCTGTATTGAAAATAATGTCTGGCTCCAGAGCCTAGCTTATTTAGCAGATATTTTCTCAAGAATTAATGAGCTAAATTTATCTCTTCAAGGCCTCAATATAACAGTTTTCAATGTGCAAGAGCAAGCTGAATCCCTGATAAAGAAGTTGCAGTTCTGGGGAAGTTGTTTGGAAAACAATCAAACTGAGTGTTTCAGTAATCTTCACGACTTCCTGGCAGAACATTAACTTCAGTTGAATCAGTGCACTAAAACCAATATAATTGCACACCTAAAAGGACTTAGCTGGAAAGTAATCCCTGAAAGTTGTGCAATGTCAGGCGATAATGACTGAATTCGCAACCCTTTTGATGATACCACTTTCTCAACACAGATATTAAACACCAAGGAAAAACATAAATTGATTGAGATCTCCTGTGATTACGAACTGAAAAGGAGTTTCAGAAATCTATCATTGATCAACTTTTGGCTGAGTTTAAGAAACGAGTACCCCTTTCTGGCAGAAAAAGCTGCTGCAGTTTTGTTACCATTTTCAACAACATACTTATGCGAGAAAGCATTTTCCTCGTATGCACATCTGAAAACCAAATACAGAAACAGACTTGATGCCGAACCAGACCTGAGACTTTATCTTTCTCCAGTGGTTCCAGACTTCCAAGACCTATGCAGAGCAAAGCAAGCGAATCCATCACACTGAGGAAATTTAAACGTTTGGGAACCACTGGGTTAGACTTAGCCTTGGCAGTCCTCATGTCACCAGTCACTGCACACTGACGTTGGTACAGGAGCCAACTCATGGTGATGAAATATTCTTGATATCAATCTGTCAAGAACTTGCTTATAAGCCTAACATTCTTTAATATATAAGGTTAGTGTCAAATACCTTTGTTGGCTCAACCTATGCATGCTTTTTTGTTACTGCCAGTGCCTCTAGTAGCCTTCGTATTGTGTCATAGAACCTGTAGGCCAGCTATCCCTATAGGTAGTGATAGCTAGCATGGAAATTAAACAATGAAAATCATAAAACAAAACAAAAACAAAAGGGGAATGAAGAAAACAGCTGACCATGGGGTTGGTTTATAATCAGTTAAAGTCTATAATTGTCCAACATTTCCAAATTAATTTGCATGAGTAAATATGTAAGAATTTGTTAAGTAAGCATGTTTTGAGAGTACAAGACAAATATATCTTGTGTCTCAGTTGTTGGGAGGAAGGAAGGTGTAGTATTAGCAGCAAGGCATATGGCTATAACAGGCCCTAATACAGACATATGTGCCTCCCTAGCTAATTATGCTCCATAACAAAATACTAGTGCAAAGCTTCCATGAAAAAGCAACTGAAATTCAATTAAAGTGTAAAGTATCAGAGGGGTAGCGGTGTTAGTCTGGACCTGTAAAAAGCAACAGTTAGTCTTAAAGGTGCCACAGGACTCTCTGTTTCAATTAAAGTGGTTTCACCGTCACCTAGCTTGGGACGGGGGGGAGGGGAGGTAATAAGTGCTCATATTTCAAATTGCTCAACAGTCACAAGATGGCAGGAGGCAGTTGCTTCTAAATTCAGCATCCACAACACACACACACACACACACACACACACACACTATGGGCACTACAACAAGGTACTGCACAAACCCTGCATTTGGCTACTGGGCTGAAATGGGAAAGCAGAGGCTACCCAGCGTGCCCCAGGTCAGACAGAGAAGGGACTCCCGTGTGGGTGGGGTGGACAGAAGGCGGTGGCTGGGCTGCTCTCTATCCTGCCTGCAAAGGGGCGAAGGAGCAGATTCCTGGGAAGCCCACTGAAGACCTGGCATTTGGGGTGGGGGGAGGCTGCTGCTGCTGCTGCGGCTGCTGTTTTCCCCGAAAACAGCGTGGGGAGGAGGCGCATGATCAGTTCCACACCCCCAGTCCGGACCCTGCCTATTGCCACGCTGCCGCGAGCTATCGGAAGCCCCCCACGGCCGCACCCCGGACTCCACACGGGTCCCGGCTCTCACGTGGAGCAGCTCCGGCTCTTCCCTCATCCCCTCGGAGGGGTGCAGCCTTGAAGCCCCGCCCCAACCCCGCTCTGCCTCCCATTGGCTGCTTGTCCGACGGGTTACGCCCTCTGCGGGCGGGCCCCTTTGTGACGTCACCATCAGCTGTTTGGACGTTCTAATTTCTGATCTGGTCTGAGATCAGCAGCAATAACAGAAAATAATAATAATCACCCTGAAGCCAGTGGAGGGAGGGTCCGGCCCCAACAGCAGCCGCCTACAGCTTGCAATGGTGCATATCTTCTGAGAAGAACAGACACACCACCACCACCTCCTGCATCTTTTTTTTTTAATTTCCATTTATAATGTTGTTGATTTTAATTAAAACTACCTCACAGACTGCCTAAAGCTGGTGCTTTACGATATTTAAAAAAATCTTGTGGGTTTCTTGCGGTGTTGTTTACAAAATAATTGCTGACATTAAAGGCAAGGTAAGTGCCATCCTCTGTTCTGAAATGTGGCTGGCTAAATTCAAACTTGAGAGCTATCTCTTTGTACTGCTGGCAGTATTTTTTTTTAATTGAGTATGTTGTTTACGTTTTTAAGATCTCTCTCTGCATTGAATGGGTTGTGTGTGTGTTAAAATCTCGGTGTGAGGGTGTATTAAGATTTAAGAGCCATCTATTTTCTCCTTGGTGTGTGATTTAAGGTCCCTTTGTATTTAGCTGGCTGTGTGCAGGCAGGAACATCTCTTTGTGTTTTAGTACGTTGTGTGCATTATGATTTGATGTGGCTGTTGGGTAGAAGGGAGAACAGAGCTCACTACCTTCTTGGGGAGACTATTAGCTATGAAGAGAGGTTGGTCTTTTGTTGTTTTTACACATCAGCCCTGGCCTGGAGTGACCAGGGTGAAAAAAACAGTAATTTTGGATCTGGAGAGAGGTTCCTACTTACTTCAACCACACAAGAGTCTGTCTCTCTCTCTCTCCTTGGCTTGCCAATAATGAGAGGGGGGGAGGGACATAATGTCGAGGCAGGTTTGTGAGAGCATATGGTCCCAGTTCAACCTCAATCCTCCTAACTACCTAAAATGGTGATGTTGCTTGGATTTGGTACTAAACAAAAGACATACGAGGTCGCCAAAAAGAATGCACTGGGAGGACTCGGGCTCCGGCTGGTGTATTCCTCTCTTTCCAGCTCCTATGCAGGAGGAGCCATTTGTCTCGAGTCCCTTTTGCCACAAGCAGTGGGGTATAAATTAGTACAGCACACGCAGAGAAGGGGATATGAGCAGAGAGCCCGTCTAGGTCATAGCAGGCGAATGGAAAGTGTACATCCTAATTAACGGCAGATCAGAGGGGTGATGTGCTGCGGCTGCTGCTTTGACTCAAACTGTTTCTCTGAGGCAGAGACAGAGGCTTATGCTGAGACGATCCAAAGCGGGCCTGTCTCTGTTCGGCTAATACACTTCTCTCCAGCAGGCGTTTACAGTGAATGGGCAAAGCGAAGTTGGTGCCTGGTTTGTTTCCTGATCAATTTCCCATTTCCTCCCTCCCTGATCTCCCCACCCCCACTCCTTCACTGCAGGGTTAGCGTTTCTGGCTTGCATGAACAAGAGAGCGTGAATTGCACCAGATCCGCTCGGTCTTTAGCAACTAAGCCGGCCTAGGGAAGGACAGAGGCTGTCCAGCCCCGTGGTGTGGGCACAACGGGGCTGGGTGTTTGTCCTACACCATCTACCCTTCTTTGGAAACGGACAGTGGTTCCAAGGAGGGTGGCTCCTGGCTCTCCTCCTCTTCGAGAACATAAATAGGAACAAAGCCCCGGTTCCTGGAAGGGGGGGGATCTTCCCCCCCTCTGCGTCTGCAGAAAAAAACAACTGGTGGCCAGTTGTACCGCTCTAGTCAATACCCCCTTGTCTCTAGTTGTTTGTTTCTCCACCAACGGATTAAGATTAAAGGTGGATCTCTATTCCCATTGGCTCCCTGGGATTGGAAGCCTGTGGTGACGTACGCGTGATTTGCATATGACATTGAAACGTCACCCAGCCCAGCCCGCCTCCACAACACATACTGAAGTTGTCCTCTTTTGACCTGTGCTGAGGGAGGTAATGTGCTCAGTGCTGGTCTGCAGCACATTCCTTTGACAGCTTTGTAGGCAAAAGACAGTCGGTAATATTTTTATCTTTGCCTTACTGAGCAAGGCAAGGTCAGGCTACTCAACTGAATAAGGCTAAGCAAGGGGAGGAAATATTAATGCTCACCTTTGCTCTAGGAAGTTATCCTTAGTGGTAGCTGCACTGCTAGCCAGAACGTGGAGGTTGCTTCACTGAACTATATTAATAGCTATATATAATTTAGTATTGACACATGCAGATTAGCATGCCTAACCTATTTTTTTCATACCATTAAGATGACAAAACGTTCAACTAGGCCATAGTAGTTGAATGAAATGAAATACTAGGGCTGGATAAAAATGTTCCACATTAAATATCATTTAATACCTAATCAATAATGCAGATCCCAGCTTGCTCCATTAACTAGAAAAAATAAATAGGAAAGTTATTTTAGTGATATGGCTGCTCCATAAATATTTCTAATGGGGGAGGGGAGAGAAAATACTTTAAACAGTTGCAGCTGCTTGAGTAAGTCTGAAACTCAAACTTTTTTAGATCAAAACTTTCAAATGCATCCCATGCAAAACTGGTGTAATACCTTTATAATAAGCTATTTGGACTGGAAATGCTGCCATCACGAAATGCTAGTTACAGATTTATTTAAGCTAAATCCCGTACATCCCATATTACTGAAGTTTTGACTAGTTAGATTTTTAGACCCGGATTCAACAAAGCACTTAAGCGAATGCATGAAGTCCCATTAACTTCAGTGGGATTTAGGTATAGGCTTAAATGCTCCGCTGAAGGTCCTGGTGTCCTTCATGTTAGGCCTTAGCAGATTGACAGATGCAAATACCAGCACTGGCATGGTGAAGTGTATGCTACAACCCTCTCTGCACTATGGAAGTTTACAAGAACAGCAACAAATCTCACTGTTCAGCTGAACTTGTGTGAGACGCACATCAGCCCTACTGCGGGCAAATTCTGGCTGCTGGACCTGTTCTTACCACTTGCTTTTCAGGTGGTTAGAAATGTCAGAAGTCATTAGATCATCGTCTACTCTAGGGGCCGGATTTTCATAAGGGCTGAGCAGTCAGCAGCGTCCTTTAAGTCACCTACATTAACTGGCCAGAGCAATGGAAGCTGCGAGATGCTGAGCCTCTGAAAATCTGGCTCTAGTTGTGGGTTCTTAGCAATGGGGACGGGGAGTCTAGCTTCAGTTCACCAGTGCTAGAACTAGTGGAAGCCCTGGGATAAGGAGTGGGGGGAATCATTTTGTAAATTTCCCCATGGTAGACAGAATCTAAGGGGTAGATACACCCCCCACTCAGAGCCCAAACCAAGGCCTAGATGCTATTTAAGCCTAGGGAGATTAAAGCATTGTCCCTGCTACAAGAAATACCCATCGCTGACCGTGCACGTCAATAATGGGTGCAGCTGAACAGGTATTGACCATGGTTTTCTGCAAGCATAGATAAGGGCATTCTGTGTATCAGAAGCCACAATTAAAACTTGTGTGGGGCTTTGTGTTCTGCCCAGGGCCAGGGGTGAGTTTCACCCAATTCCTTCCCTTCCTTAAAAAGCTCTCCTTTTCTACAATACCTACAAACAAAAAACTTGACAATGGTTAGGCCACTGGTGTACTGGGACTACAGCCTATCAAACTGACCAATATTGTCTCCGTGTTTTCTTGTGTTCCCCCATCAGCCGGTCTCCATCTGTTGGATGATATTTAGATTATAAACTCTTTGAGGCAGGGACTGTCTTTTTGTTCTGTTTGTACAGCACCTCACACAATGGGGACCTGGTTCATGACGAGGGCGCCTCAATGCTCCAGTAATACAATAATCTAGTTTATAATTCTGCCACATTTAGTCTCAGACATATTTAAAAAAAAAAACTTTGCCCTTCAATAAGTTTTCCCCCCACTCTTCCCAATAGCAGCAGAGAGACCTCCTTAAAAAAAAAAATCCAATTGTCACAGTAAACATTCCATGGTTTACATCAAAATCTCTGAATATCTGAATGAATGTATGAGATGCCAGCAGTTTTAGTTTGAGGAATAATTTTGCACTAACATCCAGTGCTTGCAGCCAAGAGTAAAGACCTCTGAGTTCTAATAAATTATTTCTTTGGCCCTGATCCTACAATAAGCTCGGCCCAGGCAGATCAACCATGCAACCCACAGAGCCCTAACTGAGCGCTGTGCAGATACAGGGCTCCAACACCATGGTGCTCATTGTAGGATTGAGGCCTTTGTATTTTGAAAGTAAAATGTTCCAGATTAGCATTCAGTCTTATGGTTTTAAAAATTAGCAATTGGCCTGTTCATCCCTTGATAAACATATATACAGGTACTCCTATTAATATTGTTACATATCTGCATTAAAAGGAGACCAAGGTGGCTTCAAAAAATCCACATGCTAAAACCATGGTGCTTTTGTATATCCCAGCCTGTTGAAACAAAGCCCAGACTTCTGGGTAATGTCTTGAAGTCTACTCTTGACTTTTCTCCACATACAGCATGTAATGTATTAAATTTATCCTCAGTGAAGTGCCACTGACTCCAATGGATTTATATCAGGGACAAATTTGACCCATTGGGTGTTGCTTTCAGCAAAGCTGTCTTCACTGTGGGAGTTGCAGTGTATTTGTATGCCTGGGGTTTGTACTTCTCTCAACTTCTCACCCATGAGAGCAAGAAAACCCTTGTGTCCACTTCAGTGACAGAACAAAGCCTATCAACTTCAGTGAGGTGTTGAGACAGGATTCTTAAAGGGATGCTGCCAAGCATAACATTTTTTGAGAGAGTGGAAAAAAACCCACACTTTTCCTTCTCTCCACCACAAGTTACTTAGAGTGTTATTTTGTCACCTGAAATAGCTATAAAACCCATGTATGATGTATGTTTGCTTTCTGCATTTCACTCAGCTTGGAGAATGAAACTATATAGTTTCATTTTTCTGGTTCTCCTGCACAATGCCCGAGTGCCTTGGTCCACAGTATGTGAGCAATCAAAGCAAAAGTAGTCTTCTCCACTGAATGTAAAACTTACTGATAAAAACCATTTTTCTTCATATTAGATTTCCCAACTACAGAGCACCTCTTCAGCATTTAATAACTGATAAGGCCCCGAGCCTGAATTCAATCTTCACAGACCGACCCTTGAGCCCAAGTGACACGCCACTGGAGTCGATGGCTCTACATAGGTCCTAATCCTGCAATTGGCTAACTTTGAGCATCAATTAACATGGACAAAGTTCCCTTTGGGAAATGCATTAATGGATTTAGTTCACTGTTAGTTGGCAGCCACATATAGACACTGGGCTTGATCTGCAGAGATTTTTTTTTTTAAATGATGGATTAAATGCACTA